TCTCGTTACTGTCCGGCGTACCGGCGAGGCTCTTGAGTCTCAACAGTCTCGCCGGCACGCCGCCCAGTACCGTTCTAGGCTTTTCGGTGGGGGCCCACTTCTCAGGGCAAGGCGCATAGGGAGGTCCTGCAGGTTTGCGATGGCACGGCTCAGTTTGCTCTTCGCTTCACTGCTCTTGGTCGTGGGTCGGTTCACGGGTTTTCTGATCGGGTTCACGCCTGCGCGCCTAAATAAGCTCTGCAGAAAGGGAAGCAAGTGTTTCTGGATTGGGTTTTCCTGCCCCAGGGGAGCCTCTACGGGGCGCTGCAGATACGACCTTAAGGTGTGGCGAACTTTTGTGCACCTGGGCACATGTGGCTGCCGGTGTAATGGACCACTTCCAGCCACGTGTTGTAACCTTCGGTGTGCATCGTGCAGATGCGAGTTTGTGCGGGCTGCCCCATGGCAGGCCATCCGCGTTGGGTAGTTTGATCCTTGGTGCCTCACCTAAACTCGTGTGTAGATCGGCTTGCGTGCTCTCCACTGCATGAGGTGATCATGGAGAGGCAACGGTTGCTTGAGCAATGGACTGCCCGCGCTGCGAGGTTATTTAGGATCCGGATCCCGGGTGGGGGAATCCCGATCCACACGTGCACCATGCGCTTCACCAGATTGGCCTCAACCTGGTGAGCACCCTGCTGGTTCGCAACGTCCCGCCAGACAAGGCTGTGCTGGCTGCCTTGCACTCTTGCGACCTACGTGCGGCTGCTGCTCAGGCCAACGAGGCTTGAAGACCACTCTGAGCTCATTAGGCTGCAAGGACCGGGAGGAGAGCCGTGGGACAAGACTGTGCAGGTTATGGAGTGTTTGTTTCGCGACAGTGCACTGTCAGTACACTGTATAACCTACGCATGCAATGTGGCGCACTCTTTGCTCTAGTTAGACTGCCCTTTTGGCTTTCGTGCATCTGTCGACGCATTCATTGGAGGTCGAGGTGCACGCAGTGCAAACGACTACATGTCTCTCTGTACGCATCGCCTCTTGCTATGATTGCTCCATCGCAGCCACTCCTGACGGTCTTGCCACAAATGGTGGAACCACGACAGAGTGCTGATTCGCTTGTGGGATCTTTGACGCGGAGGGTCCGAAAGCAGATTTGTTTTCCAGGCCGGTACCAGCACTGAGCTGACGCCTCGCTTCATCAAAGTGAGGTGATGTTAGGCCAGTGTGCCTTGATTCCTTGATGCATCTCAGTGCGCGCATTCACGCATGGCCGTGTGTGGCAAAGCTGTGCAAGGCGTCCCAGGCTTGTGTTTTCTTCATCCCCGCCTCAAGTGGCGCCCTCCTGGAAGGATCACTAGGTCACTGTGCATCCGTGGCTTGTTTTCACTGATGTGTGCTCTGAGCCCTGCTTTACAGGCGGCCTGAGTGGTGTATGATCCCTCATGCAATTTCAGTGCGAAGTTGGTTGCCATTGCCTTTGGGTGATGCGGACATCAAGGCTCCTGTACCGTATACGAGCTCGAGGCTTGCGCTGTTGTCCTCGCCCCTCAGCTTTGGGCGCCAGCACTTCGCGTCGGCCGGATGCGTGCCTTGTATAGCCAATGAGGATGCTAGATCCTCACTGATGAAGAGCCGCTCCGCCGCTTGGTCGATCGCTAGCACAACATCTGTCGCGTCTTCGCGGTGTTATGTGAAGGGTACGCATTCACAAAATGAAAAGAACACAATCCTGCCTGGATGCGCAAGTGTTCCTTCGTGCAGCTGTATTGCCGACCACCCGTGCAGATGAGTCGGTTCTCCAGTGTTGCCAGAACCTATCGGAATCGCGACAGGTCTACTGCTTCAAGCGGTTGGTGCTGTCCCTGCTGATGTTGGCAGCTAAGTCGTGGCGGCGGCCAGTATGCTGAAGTCGGAGGATTTCCGCATACTCGCCGCCGCCAGTGCTTAGGGTTCAAGTTTCGAGCTTTCGCTGAATGGTTGATTCATGCATTGCCCTCTCCTGTCCGTCATCCCTTTGGAGTATGGGGGTATGTGTGCGATGACGGACTGCCGTCCTGCAGGGTGTGCACCGGTCTGTGCATGACCGACTTTCGTGACATACCCCACTCGGCAACAAAAGAGGGTGCGCGTATCTTGTGCCTGCTGAGGTCTTGGACTGTTCACATGTCTTGTTTTGTGTTGGTGTGCCTACCGTAACAGTTGGAAATAAGAGTTTTGCTTGGGCTTTTGCTTGCGTCCGGCTTGACTGAGTTGTCACTAGCATGGAAATAGCATGATATTTTCGGGTGCTGCATCATTTCCAGCTTGTGTACCAGTGCTTTGCATGATTTCTTTCATGTCGAATGCACAGAGCGAGCATTGCGTGACTGCATGAAGCCTCTTTATTTGTCAGTGGGAAGGAGCCGCTTGGGTGTTGTCACGAGTGTTGTCGTCCCAGCATTTCTGCCCAGGAAGCTTGGTGTGTTGAAAAAGCTGTTTGGCTTTTCGTTTTGCATGAACCTTTGCTTTTTCAGAGAGGAGCCAACGTGATTAAATTCTAAAAGCAGTTCCCAACAAAGTTTTCAAAATGTCATTAGTAAAAGTGTTTCGTGGCATTTGGTGCCAAAGTGCACCAAGCAGACGTGTCGAAACTTAGCCGCAGGCACGGCACAGCGTTTGAGGCTGTTTTGAGCGTCTGCGCCCACAGTCCAAATAGCAACGGTTTTGGGACATTTGCCCGTAGAGGCAAAGCCTTTTGTGGCACTGCTTAGAGTCTGGGCAAGACAAAGTAGCAGACGTGCTTTTGGGAGTCTTGACCCCAGAAGCAAAGCTTTTGTGGCGCTGTTTAGAGTCTGGGCAAGTCAAAGTAACAGACGTGGTTTTGGGAGATCTTAGAGACAAAGCTTTTGTGGCGGTGTTGAGAGTCTGGGGTTTAGGGTTTAGGTTTAGGGTTTAGGGATTAGGGCTCAAGACCACAGTCATGGCCTGGCAGTGGAAGCCAAAGACATGGTGTTTGGAGGCCTGCCTGCAATTCAACGTGCGCCGCTCCAGGCGCCACACCTTCAAAACAATGCGTCAGGAGAGCCGGCAAGGCAGCAGACATGTTTTTGGGTCCGTGGCCAGGGGTTGCTGCCAAGTCCGGCTGTGCGCCGCTCCAGGTGCCACACACCTTCAAAAAGGTGCGCCAATGGGGCCGGCTGTGGGGCTTGGGATGCGCTCGCCAGCGAAAAAGGGGGCGCGGCATGTGGAGCGGCGCGGCTGACGCCGCGCCGCCCTGCGGCCTTTTAAGTGGTTAAGTTTACCGCGCGCAACGCCGCGCCCGGCTTTTTAAATTTTAAAGAATTTAAAAATTTTACAAAATTGTTAAAATTTTAAAGGTTTGGTTTGACCCAGGCCAGGGGCTCACCTTTTAAATTTCAACAAAACCTTAACTTCTTTAAATTCTTGAAATTTGAAAGCCCGCGGTTTTTAAATTTTAAAAGCCCTGCGGTTTTAAATTTTGAAAATTCTTTAAAATTTGAAAACCCTAGGTTTTTAAATTTTACAAGCCTTGGGGTTTTAAATTTTGCAAATTCTTTAAAATTTGAAAGCCATAGGTTTTTAAATTTTATAAGCCCTGGAGTTTTAAATTTTGAAAATTCTTTAAAGTTTGAAAGCCCTAAGTTTTTAAATTTTAAAGCTTTTAAAGATTTTAAAGAATTTTAAAATTTAAAAGGTCTGGTTTGACTCCAGGCCAGGGGCTCAACTTTTAAATTTTAAAAAAACCTTAAATTCTTTATAATCTTTAAAGTTTGAAAGCCCGCTGTTTTTAAATTTTAAAAGCCCTGGGGTTTCAATTTTAAAACTTCCGCGGTTTTAGATTTTAAAAGCTCTGGGTTTTAAATATTGAAAATTCTTTAAAATTTGAAAGCCCTAGGTTTTAAATTTTGAAGATTTCAAAGATTTTAAAGAATTTTTAAAATTTAAAGGTCTGGTTTGACTCCAGGCCAGGGGCTATAGGGGCTCACCTTTTAAATTTTTAAAAAAACCTTAAATTCTTTAAATTCTTGAAAATTTGAAAGCCCGCGGTTTTTAAATTTTGAAAGCCCTGCGGTTTTAAATTTTGGAAATTCTTTAAAACTTGAAAGCCCTAAGTTTTTAAATTTAAGTCCTGGGGTATTAAATTTTGAAAATTCTTTAAAATTTGAAAGCCCCAGGTTTTTAAATTTTAAAAGCCATGGGGTTTTAAATTTTGAAAATTCTTTGAAATTTGAAAGCCCGCGGTTTTTAAATTTTAAAAGCCCTGGGGTTTTAGATTTTGAAAATTCTTTGAAGTTTTGAAAACTCTTTAAAATTTGAAAGCCTTAGGGTTTGATTTTTTAAAAGCCCTGGGGTTGTAAATATTGAAATTTTTTAAATTGTAAAAGTCTATATAATGTGTCTATAAAGCAAAGCCATACGCCAAATAGACCCTAAAGGTCTTACGTACATATGTACATATGTGCGACTGCTACGGTGAGTATATTGCTTTTTTATGGAATTCTCACCATATGAGGATTTGTTTGTTCGCATGCCCGTGTTGGGAATAAGGAATAAAACATGGCAAGACATTAGGAACGGTGGGTCTGCAGCCGCTGCCCCTTCGCGGACCCAGCACGGGCCCTTGCGCTAGGGCTTGCGGCTTCCCAATCTCAGGCATCCCGCCCGCCTAAGCCGGCGCCCCCCCTGATACCGCCATCAGCTCTGGACACGGCACTGCACTTGAGCCTGCGCCGGTCCAATATACAGATGTGGGACCTCCGCCTTTACCTTTAGGAGAATCCACCAACTCCGCCTTGTACGTGCCTTTGTTGCCAGACGCAGCTGGCATGTTATCTGTGGAAGCACGCCCATCCGTGAATGGTGGCCTACAGCAGTCGATGCGCTGCGAGCACGCCCTTTCATTCCTGTTAATGAACTCATCGCGGCCGTTGAACATGCGGCTCTTGCTTTCGCGCCACCGGCTCTCCTCTCGGTTCTGTGCAATGCATGATTCCGGGCATGGGCTGGGGCCCGCGCAGGTCGCATCACGTCCCTTGCCGACCTCGTCCGCGCGATTGCTGTTGAGCAGGAAGGCCATGACATCGCAGCACCACTCCAAGAAGCACTGCTAGCTCTCCTCATTGGTCCGGCGATTCCTGCGACTGTATGCTTTGGCTCGCTTGATAGAGGCGTTCCGCGCCCAACCCTTCGATCCCCGAGGGCAGCCTGCAAAACCCGGCCCTGCCGCTGCTGCACCTGCGACCGTGCGCCTGCGAGGTCACCCCGCGCAGCCTCAGCCACCCGCGCCCGATGCTGCCGATCCCTCTGGTCCTGCCGAGGATCGGCCCGCCGATGCACTTGCACCCGATGCTGCAGCCACGGACCCGGACGAGGACGAGCCGTTGCTCCGCGCCATTGCTGAGCGCAGTGCCCGAATCACAGGCCGGGCCAGAGGACATGGGCGATGGGGGCGAGGACGCGGACGTCACACAGCTGCGATTGAAGGGGGCCCTCCCCTTACTAGTACGGCGCCTGCGTCCCATCCAAGAGAGCAAGCTGTGTCGCAGCAAATTGCACCCCAACGGCCGGGCGCTGATGCAGGCTTCCAACGTGGCTTGGTTTCGTTGGACTCGATTTCGCTCCACACTGAAGTGTGAAACCGCATTTTCACATTGCAAACCGTTCCGTGTTGGAGCGCTATGCTCGCTGTCGCCGCTCAGTGTGCCGTCGCCGCATCCCTCCGCGGCCTTCCCTCTGACTCTGAACATCTCTGAACCCTGCAGCAAGCCGCTTGCTTTGCACAAGGTCTTGGCTGATGCACATTGGCTCGTGGAGCCGGAGCCCCGTGGCTAGCCTGAGCCTGTGCGTTGCGTTTGCCCCCGGTCGGCCATAGTCAGCAGCATGGTAGATTCGTGCACCGGGACCGCTTCGATTTCTGGTAGGAAGGTGCGGAAAAAGAAAGCCCTTCTGGTGAGACTGCGAGGATCCGGGGAACAGTGCGCACCACTATGCGAGCTGGCCTCCAGCTTGCTGCGGACCAGGCCCCGCCTGAAAGCGAGAAAAAACGAGCTGTGCCGGCCCACGCATGCTCCTGTACTGCGGTGTTGCTCGCCTCAACCCAGGTGAGTTGCACCGCCGCGTCACGCTTTTCCAGCAAGGAGCATGGCCGCAGCTCCGTCGCGACGCCGCCCTCGCTGCCGGCCACACCCGTGCACAAGACACATGCTATACCGCGCTCGTCCACCTAGGTGAGCTCTGTGCGGCTGGGCGTGCGCTGGTTTCAGAGCCGCTTGCTACTGGCAGTGACGACACTTTGGCAGAGCTTCAAGACCCTGCTCGCCGCCCACCCCAGCCGTATGCGCCCATGCTGCACATTTCCATCCCGAACACGGCCCGGAGCTTCCAGCGCAGCTCTTCTTCACGGCCCTCCGCAGCGCCAGGCGTGGCGCCGCGCCCGGCCCCTCCGGAAAGACGAACCAGCATTTGCGGGTTCTCCTCGATGACGAAATGGACAGCACTCTTTTGCACGCCGCCGCTGAGGGTGTGGTGCAAGCACGTGTCCCTTCGGCCGTCATCGAAGCACTTCGCGTCGGCCGCTTGGTCGCCTTGCGCAAATCCGAGGGGGTGTCAGAGCACTCGTCGTTGGGGACGTGCTGCAGCGACTCGTCGGCAAAGTGCCTGCGCAAGCGTTCGCTCCCAAGAGTGGTTGCTCTTCCCGCTTGGTCTCCGCACCCGGGCCGGCACTGAAGCCCTCGCCCGCGTCCACAGCCACAGAGGTTGACCCCCGAGCAACCATCCTCGCTGTCGATGCCGCCGGTGCCTACGACCATGTCGCATGTGCGGCCATGTTGGAGGCATTGCGTGAGCGGGCGGAGCTGCACCCACTGCCGTACGTCAGGCAGGTTTATGCGACGCAGAGCGTCTACACGTGGGTCGACGCCCAAGAGCGTACCCACGACATCCTAAGGTGAAGGCGGCGAACAAGGTGATCCATTGATGCCTGGCCTCTATTCCTTGGCAGTGCATGAGGCCCTGCGCACGGTCCATATTCGCCTCTTCGATGCTGAGGCCGTGTTCGCGTACCTCGACGACATCGTGGCGCTGCCCGAACGAATCCAGGAGCTGTACTCTGCGGTCGAAGACGCGTTATGGAAAAATGCACGTGTCCAGCTCAATTCAATAGCCGTCAAACCTACCCGGAGCTCAGTGCCACATGCCGGTGCCGCTTGGTAGTTTTCGGCATCGAAATTGGGGGCCGCTGGCACCTCTGAAGCCGCCAACTTCGTCCGTTTGCTTCCGCGCGCGCGCGCGCGCGCGCTCGCGCGCACGCGCGCCGCGAGCGTGCTTGCCATCTTCCGGCCCGCCGCCCTAGCCGTTTGGGTCCTGCGTTGGAGCGGCATCCTTGCCGTCGCTGCCCAGCGTGCGCTCGCCGTTTCCGCTTCCATCCTACACCTCCCTCTCGCCAACGAGTGCAGCGGTGGGGGCGCCGAACCCGCTTTGCACGAGCTGTTGGCTGACTTGCGGTGGCACGAAGTGCCGGAGTGCAGTCGCATGCCTAGCGGTGCTGCATAATTAGCTCTGAGGGCGTCAGTGCACGGGAACCGCGAGCTAAGTGAGACGGTTGCAAAAAAGTGCGAGAAAAAAAGATAAAAGAGCGGCCACCGATCTCAGCATCGGGGTATGGGTGTCGCGACGCGGAGCGGGTCGCACCAAAAAAGCCCAGTGTGCCGCATGACTGGCATGTGGGCAAAGGTTTGCAAAAATGCGTCTCAAGCGCGCGGTTGTCACATGGGTGGCGGCGCGCTGCCAGCCTCGCAAGTGATCACCAAATTCGCTTTTGCGGAGGGCAGCCGGGGGGACCACCGGGAGCGCATTTCACTGTCGCGCGGCGTAACCTTGACCTCGCAGATAGGTGTGCGGCGGCGATTGATGGCGTTTGATACAGAGCTGGGTCCTGCACCATGCGAGTACCCGCGACCGGCGCCCATGTTTGCAGCTTACGCCGTGTTGTTTCAGCAAGGGCGAGGCCGGCGTCGGCCCCCGGCCGCGGCTCGCCGGAGCGAGTGACCGGGCTTACACAGGTGGTATCGACCGAAAGTTGAGCCCCGTGCCAAAGGAGCAAGCCGTTGCAGAAAAACGGGGATGGGGAGGTTCATGTCTGCAAGCCGCACATTGCGTGCGACCCGAAAGCCAGCCTCCTTGCAAACCCTGGTGACAGCTCGCCCGAGCGTGGGAGGCAAGGCCGCTCGGTGGTCGCCGAGCGGTCAAGCGGACCACGGCAGGCAACGAGTCGGGGCGCGAATGGCAGCGTTAAGCACAGGCGGCGGAGGAGGAGGAGCACTCGGAACTCTGCGGAGGGGATGGTGACGTCGCCCATGCCGTTTCCCCTGCTAGGGGTGACGAGGGGCGCGCGGCTTCCATGAATGCCAAGAAGCGGCACCGACGGGCACACGAACAGACGTGTGATCGCGAAGGACCAGCGAGTCATCAAGGAGTTCAGTGGACGCGGAAGAGTTTGCATGATTCGCGTTGTGACCGTAAAATGACAAGCGTCCCGTGCGTTGCTGCTGTCCCAAGTGCTCGGCCCTCTTGGTGACCACCGCACGGCCTGTGCCACCTCGGGCATTCTGTCCACTCGCGCGCTGCCTCTCGAGCACGCCGTCGCGCGGGTATGTCGTGAAGCTGGCGCCAGAGTGGCACGTCTGTCACGTCCGGCTCGCGGACATGAACTTGGACGTTCCTGTCTCCGATGAGCGGCGCGTCGAGGTCGTTGCCAACGGCTTCCCCTTTTGGCACGGCTCACTTGACGCCCATCGTTTCCCCGCTCACCAGACGCGGTGAAGCCCACCCGCGCGCCGACGTGCAAGCTGGATGCGCGGTCGCGGCCGCGGCATGGCTCAAGCTTCCAGACCCATCCAGAATTCGAGAGCGCGCGGCGCTGTCGACTCGTTGTGGTCGGCATGGAGGTCGGCGGCAGGTTCGGCGCCGCGACTGTGGTCCAACTTTGCGGTGTAAGTCAACGATGTCTGTTTTTTTCAATGAGCCCGTGCGTCATGCAAGGAGCACTGTTCCACCTTATCAGCCTCCCATTCCACCCCCCGCACCCCCACCGCCACCCAGACAGCGCTTGTTGTTTTGTAACACGCACTATATCGCCACCAGTACGAGCGCGGTCCCTGTGCAGCAGCAAGCTACGGGCTTATGGTGCGCTAGATGTCGTGGCTTTAGTCCCAGCGCGCATCCTTCGCCCAGCTCGGCGGCCGGGGGCAGCTCGAGTAGCGTCGCCGCGTAGGCGCGCTAAGCCGCGACTGCGAGCATACTGGGCCATTGCGCGACACAAGATGAGACGGCGGCGGGTTGCATGTGGGCGGGGATCGACGCCGCGCCATGGCGTGCGAGGAGGCGCAGGAACTGCACTGCTTCGGCCGCGAAGGGCACATCGTTGCAGCGTGCTGCCCTCGTCCTTCATCAGTCTCCATCAGTCCGTGCCAGCCTTCACAATACTGCAGCGCACAGCAGAACAATGTGTGAACCGCGAAAACTCGGCAACAGCACACTTGCAACATTTTGCAACCGTTTGATTCCTGCCATAAAAAGTAGGGTATGCAATTGTAGTGATTGTTGTTATTGTTTGCGATGGAATGACGCAGTGTTGCCAGAACTTACCAGCTTCATGACATCCAGGAAAAGCAATCAATTGAAGTGTTGCTAAGACAGCACATTGCCGTTCCACAACACCAGTTTGCACTTGTCGTGGGCTGTTGATGGGGTAGACCCGATGTTTGAAGCAAACATATAGTCATGCTCATGCCATGGCCTTTTTCAAAGAAGGTTTTTCCAAGATCATTCATGCCGTGAAAGGAGATGCAAGCCAATCGGTACCATACGATGGCCGCTTATCAGCAGACTGTTTCAAGCTGCATGAGGGAATGTTGCTGGGAATTGAAAACTTGGTGCCCCGCACATTGGCATATTTGCCTGGAGCCGGGTTGATCGGCTTCTGCACATCGGCTGGCCATGTCAAACTAGTTTCGGACGAACATGAGATGACTTTGACCAATCCGGCTGCACCCTTCCAGCCGGAATTTCTGAGCTTCCCGAGGGCTGGTCTGATCTTGTTGGTGGGCGTCGCCACATCACATCACAATCGAGCGACGGCCCCACAGTCATCATCGTCAGTGGGACCTCCTGAGAGCGCAAGCTGGATGGCCCAATGGTGGGAGCTGGGTGGAGGTGGGCTTCAAATTCCTCAAAGCGCCTGGCTGCGATTCGGTGTGACTTGCACAGCAACCGCCGAAGATGCGTGTCTGGTTTTCCTCGGTACAGACGAAGGTGATGTCCGTGTCTTTGATGCTGGCGAACGGCCGCATGTGGGATCTTATTGTATTTCGTTCGCATCCTTGCACAATCACAAAAAGCCACAAAGCTTGGCATGCCCAATCACAGCCGTGGCGGTGGTTCCTCAATCCGCGCCAGAGTTGTTAGTGGCCACTGGAGATGGAACCTTGGTGTTATGGTCCTTTGACAAGCACAGGGTTTGCCGAACGTACGATTGCAGTTCTCCTGCTGTTTCCTTGGCTTGGTGCCCTTCTGGTTCGCATTTTTTGGCAGCATCGCGGAGAGACATGTCAATTTTTTGTCGTTCGAGCTCTTCCGTATTGGTCCGCGTAGCACTCCCAGGTGGCATATCCCAGCACGCAAGCATTTTGCAGTGGGGTGTGGGAGACCTCTCGGCAATTCCGCATGACAAGTTGCCGAAACACTTGGGCCAGGTACTTCTGCTGCGGACCATCCCAAATGCCGCGCTGCTGCGGTTGTCGGGAGAAAGTTGGTCCCAGGTTGAACCGATCCTGGCAGATGTTACCAGTGCCGTGCTGTGCCAGGGAAGAACTGCTGCTGGCCAGCTCTGCGGTTGTCCCAACGGGCTACCCGCTGCACCTACGCTGGATTCCGAGGTGGACGTCACCGGGGAAGATAGTTTGAAGCAGTGTGTGCTCGCAGTTCGAAGTACACAAACTGGTGCATCTGAAGTTTCCGTGCTCGGGGCTGGTGCAACCCGAATTTGGCCTGCCAGCTGGGGCTCCTTGCAACTCTCGAACGTGTCTTGCATTCAGCTCCTGCCAAAACAGGTGCTGCAGCTTCAGAATGCTGCAGAAGCAAGCTTGCTTGAAACTTGCCCCACAGCCGCACAAGCAGAAAGCAGCGTGGGGGAACCTCGGGTGCAATGGGCCGTCCGTGATGGGACCTTACAGGATTTAGTGGGTACTTCTTGTGGTGAAGGGTTTTCATCTACTGATGGCTGGTTCATTTTGACCGGCTGCGACAATGTTTCGGATACAGGCCATGCTGTGGGAGACACACTTCGCTGGACACTGCCATCCGATGTGCAGCTTGTAGAGTGTGAGGCGAGTTTCAGCTTAGATGCCAAGGTGCTCATAACCATTTGGGATGATGCCGGGACTGAGAACACGCTGCAGCTTGACGTGCAAGAGCAATTGGCGAGCTGGGGCACATTGCAGCATGATGTGGAGCTGGCACCCGGAGCTGAGCATTGCCTTCAGTTTCAGCCGGATGATGATTGTGCCGGGTTCAGTGTGGCTGTCGATGCTTGCTCGCTTCCTTGGCGGGTGCAGCGACCGCAAGCCATGCTTTGGCGCTGTCAGCAAGGTGAGCTTCGAATCCGCCACATGTTCGCACGTATCAGCTCGACCGATTGCATGGAAGATCCGACAGTATTCAGCACCGAGGCGGCATGCAAACAATTTTCACCCACGCAGCTGGTCGAGATGATGTTTGCACACCACGTGGCACACTTTAGAAGCTTCGTGCAAGGCACTTTCCTTTCGCCGAACTGCGAGGCCTTTGTCGGAAGTTGGGCCCTGCTTGCTGGAGGCTGTCAGGGCTTATTGTGTAGTGGGCACAAAGATGGCTGCATCAGGATATGGTTGCGCAGTCATGCTTCAGTTCTCCTTCTGCATGTTCTTTCAGTCCAGTCCCTGGCATCTCTGCCTTGGCGACCTCGTTTTGATCCCAGCACGGGCTTGCTGGAACCAGGCCCAGGGAGCCAGAACCTTGGCCCAAGCTATGATGGCGTCGACTCGTGTCCTCCTTTTCCAGCGGGTGAGACAAGCGGGCCAGGTGTCGCTGTAACTGCGGTATCGCTGGAACTTGCAGCTGGTGCGGTGGTGGCTGGCTGCAGCTCTGGTGAAGTTGTTCTTTTCATGTGGCAGAACGAGGCGCAAAGGCCCTCTCCAGCAGAAACGGCGGAGTGGAAGGTGCAGTCTTTGCTGTTGGCTGCTCAAGAATGTGGCACGGGGGGTTCGGGTGCTCAGGTTCCGGAGCCTCCAGAGCTTCCTGCTGGCTTTGTTTGTACCATGAGGTTGAGACAGCATGAGGCATGTGTTAAGCAGCTGCGGATCATCTCCGATGGCAGATCTTTTCAGATTCTGTCAGTGGATGCTACCTCACGTTTCTGCGTGGTTGACTGCTCAAGTGGGCAGTTGCTATTTTCCCAGTCACTGGCATCCCTAAGCAGTGAGGTGTCTCAGCCGAAGGTGCCACAGCCGCCAGTTGAAACGCTTGATGCAGTAGTGACGTCGAATTGTATTCTTCAGGTTAGCCGATCTAGTCCGGCACATGCGGCGGTGCCAGCGATGGACGTCAACCAGTTGAAGATGGACTTGTTGGCGAAGGATGCCATGTCAAACTCCATGCAGCCCACGCCAAAAGCCTACCTCCTGGCCTTCTCCAGTGGCGAACTAAGACAAGTTGCCGGCCCGCCCAATGATTTGAAGCTTTTGGACAACCGCATCAGGGAAACACGCTTGCCTCAGCTTGCCGGCGGCTCTTTCCTGGGTTGTTTCCTGAACAGCAAGTTTCTGCTGACAATCCAATCTTTTGGCCTCAATATCTTCAAGCGTGAGGGGGACAAGCTACATTCCGCAGGGCAAAGCATCAAGTTCAGCACTCGTGCGATGGAGGCCGGGGTTGTAGATTTTGACGGCGAGCTTTGTCTTTATGCGATCCTCCGAAGTGGACAGTTAGACATACTGGCGTTGCCTAGTTTGCACTCGATTGTGTCACTTCCGGTGGGGGCTTGCGCGGCCCGAGCTTTAAAGGGCCAAGGAGACGCGACAGACGGCGATCAGGTAGGTTTTTTTTCTGGAGGCTCGGGCATTTGCTCGGATGGTTACATGGCTTTGCACTATGCCGGGGCGCTTTGGATTGGTGGTGCTTCAGAGGCGAGGGAATGTCGAGCTTTGGAGGCATCTGCGAAAGCAGCAAGTTCTGCATACTTGGTGCAGAAGCTGCACGGGCTGCCCGCGGCATCTGATGCTCCGGAAAGGGGCCCCAAGCCTGTGGGCATTCTTGGCACACTTTTCGGGCGCACCCAAAAAACTATGCGCGACTGCCTTCTTCCTGCAGAGCCCCTTCCGGCAGAGGTGGACGGGAATCTATTGGATCAGGGCAGAGGGTTGGCTCCAGCCTGGCAGTCGCAAGGGCGGTCACAGTCGCAGAGTGCCCCACAGACCCAGACAACCAGAAATGCAGCTGCAAATGTCCGGGAAGCACTAGCTGGAGCCACTGCAAACGCAGTCGAGCGAGGAGACAAGATTTCAAGCTTGGCAGACAGCTCGCGTCGATTAGCGGACAATGCCGACCAGTTCCTGGACTTAGCGAAGCAGCTGAATGCGAAGCAGAATCGCTGGTTCTGATGCAAAGAAACGCTGGGTGGTTCTCTTGTGCTGTGTCTACTGTGCGCCAGGAGTACTAGCCAGTCTACTGTCGCCACCAGTTGGTTGGCTTAAGGGCGTGAGCCGTAGCGACTCCGGCATGTCAACACGGGTTACGCGGACGCTTGCTAGTTTGTACCTAAAGTTCCTTTCCATGCAGAAACGAACGTCCTGCAAGTAGGCTAGGCAGCTAGCATCCTCATACCGGTGAGGGAGGGAGCAAAGGCTTGCAATGGCACGACGTGGGATTTCCAACTACGAACCTTCTGGTGGACCGCAGCAGTTCAACATCTTTTGGCAGGCTCCGGTCTCTCTCTGCAGTCTGCGGTAGGAAGCAGCCCAAGCTCTCAGCGTAACCTCTGCTAGGAGACGCTGCGCTCCAGCAACGATGGTATCTCTGGCATAAAGCAAGCCTATGATCTGCCAGCCAAGAGTTGCTGGGCTTGTAGATTTGCCTTCGCTAACTTCTTCGGAGTACGGGGCAGATCCAGCACTGCCGCCAAACATTAGCGAGGTAAGACCCCGATCATTCGGTTGCACAGCCAGCCTGCTCCCTTTCCAAAACAAGGTTCCTTCAAAAATGCAGCTTGTCTTTACTGTGGCACATGCAAGAGACGGTCCTGGACGAGAGAAGGCTTTTCAGTCAGGAGCCGAAGCGAAAAAAAGGAACTTAAGTGTCACGCGCGGTGCACCGGATCTACTCACCGGCTCTCTCGCTTGCCTACCCATCGGCTCTGCCAGTTGTGACTGCTTCAGGTGACCACCACAAACCGTGAACTCATGGGCAAGCCGCGCGACTTTGTGCTTGCGGCTCCCAATCCTGAGCATCCTGGCACCAACGCCTACTTTGGGCATTCTTGAGGCACAAATGCTAGGAACAGCAGTTGGGGACCAGGCTCCGCATGGCTCTGGCCGAGCCGAGCGGAGATTTCGGTCGGGCCGGGCGCAGCAGCTGGCACTACAATCTCAGCCGCCCGCTTGGCCGGAAGGTGCGAGGCTTCTGAGCTATCCACCGGCCGGCACCGATGCAGGGACCACTATAATTTCTAGAGTGTCATGGAGTCTAGGCATGAAGCTTCGAGTGGTCACCATGCCAGCGAGGTGAAGCTGCATTCAATGGCTTCTGCCAGCTTTGATGGTGAGCATCTGCCCCACATGGCATCACTGACGGGCACGTGGCCGCGTGGCACTGATACGCATGATACACGCAGATGGTCTCTGCAAACGAACGTGCTTGTCTTTTTGCAAGCTACTGAGGGCCGATGTGTAGCCTCTCCACGTGAGCCTCCATCTGATATTTGGAAGTGACCTGAGGTCGACTCTGAAATACGGCTGGAACGGCACAGCAACGGCAAACGCCCAAACCTTCAACACGATATTTCCAGCCGTTTCTGATGACGAGCGGCCGCAACTCTCCAGACCCTCAACACACGCAGGCAAGACTCTTGCCTCTGTGACAGCGTCGTTGATTTCTGCGGCCTGCGGCTGTTTCAGGTACGTCGATAGAAGCGGCCTTGCGACTGGCTAGATCGCCACGGCGGAGCCTGGTGCCAGTCGCTGGGACACCTGGGACTGATGCTTGGCCTATGAGGGCTTGTATAATCTTGTATACTTGTACTAGCTAGCAGCTAGCAGGAGAGTCTTTTAAGTGCTTTTGATTTGGGCTGTGCTTGGCCAGTGGTTTGTCCTCCAGAATCACCCGCCAGCAAAGCAACTGCCGAGGCATCGAGGAAAGGCGAATTCGAAGCTTTGCTAAATCAGTCGGGTCTGTCCACTTGGACAGAGTTTGCGCCCAGCATACGCCACCCTCGACTTTGGTAATGCTACCGGGCATCGACCTGCCTGTTTTCCTGGGCTTGAAGGAAACCAGCAGTTGATTCCGGACATAGTTCCAGCGGCTGCAGATAGCATGCTGCAAGCGTTTTCAGTGCTTTGCCACAGCTGGCATCATGGTGAAAGACTGGTCTTTGGCAGACTTGCCTCGTGACATATCTTAGCTATCGCCATGATGGCAGACTAATTCAATGTTTTGGCTGTGCGGGCTAAGTCGAGCACGGATCTGGGCCTTCATTTCCCAAGACAAATCTGCCAATGTGTATGCAACTCAGCCAGAGTGTCAAGAGGAAATCCAGGTCGATACAGGTGCCGTGCTCGCGCTTTCGCAGCATGACGGCGTTGAGAGCCTCCGGTAATGTGTTGCTGCGAAACCCTTTGGCGCAGCGTAGAAGTGCTGGACGTCTAGAACCAGAACACGGTGACTTCGAGAGCAACATGGACATTTTCCAGATGCTCATAGAAGTTCCAGCCGGATCTGTGGTCCTCAAGGTTCATGCAGCAAACAGGTTGTCAGAACATGTCGCAAGCTGCGATGCTTCCACAGATGGCTGATGCCAAAAAGTGCTAGGAAGTTCGTGTCTAAGGCACAGCTCTCCCACATCCTTGGCTGCTAAAGGCAGGCACCAGGAACTTGGTAGCTTCTTTTTGAGCTGCCCCCGTAGAAGTTTTGTCGATAGTGGATGACGGATACATGCCGTCAGAGGCACAAAATAAGATAGGCGAAGGATGAACGACGCAGAGGGTGCGCGCAGGTATTTGTCAGCACTGACTCATTCCTAAGCCGGTGTCCACCCCCCATGCACTTCGCACCCATGTGGCAGATTTTCATGCTCCCTACAGATGCAAGCAACATGGCGCCGCCTTCGCTTGGCTCATTTTGTGCAGAAGCTGTAGCTAAAAGAGTTACACAGCCTTTGGTGCGTATTACACAGTGTGCAGCCCTTGGCTCTGCCATTGCCCGCCCGTGCGTGTCCGCCTGGCTGCCTGCTGTTGCAGTTCCTCAGTAGCCAAGGTTGGTCCATGGCGCGCCGCTACGATTCGCGAACCACCACCTTTTCGCCCGAGGGCCGCTTATACCAGGCATCTTGCAGCTCCAAATTCGGGGGCCGTGGGAGAATAAGTCCGCAGGTCGAATATGCCATGGAAGCCATCAACTTAGCGGGTTCGACCGTCGGGGTCCTTGCAGAGGCCGACGGGTCTCTTCTCTTCCTGCCACAGAAATAAGCCCATAATGTAGCAGCGATAGCGGCTGGGCTGCTGGGCTTGCAGGATGGCGTGGTCCTTGCGGGAGAAAAGAAGACGACGTCGAAGCTCCTGGACCAAGCGAAACAGCACGAGAAGCTCTTCCAGCCTCTTAGCAGTCTTAGCACCTGCAAGAACAAGCCCAGCATCTTATTTACGTCTCCAATCTAGGCTGGACGATGCGATGTTCTGCCTGTGCCTTAAGTTCCGTGATCGTTGCTCGGCCCCGACACCTTGGTTGCTGTGCGAAGGTGCAGTAGCAGGCATTACTTCGGATGCGCGCGGTGCTTAACGATCATCGCTGGTGGCGATAACTTAACATGACGGCCGCACCAAGCCGAATGCGAAGGAACATCCTCATCAACAGGCTCCGTCTGAGTGCACAGCAGCATGCCGGGACCCAAAATGCCGTGAAAAGCTGCTGCATCCTTGGTCAGACGAGTTTAGGGTTTCTTGTGGAGACCATCTCCCGCAGTTCAATCTCTTGCCTTGGGCACGTCTTCGTGTTTCTGTTTTTGGTGGTCGTCGACTGTCTGAGTCTTTCGCCCCACAGGCTTGTGTTCCGCTCTCTTGCTTTGCTGTGCTGAGTGGAGCTCCGCATTTCTCAATTCTCGCCTTGGACGAGGCCTATTCATTCTCCGAGCCAATGCCTGTAGAGCAGCTCGTCACGTCCATCTGCGACTACAAACAGGCAGGCACATGTCCTGTGCCAGCTGCGCAGCTGCCGTGCACTGCTACGGTCTGGGAGGGCTACACCCAGTTCGGTGGCCTGCGGCCGTTCGGAGTGTCCTTCCTCGTAGCTGGCTATGATGTCCACCACGGTTTCCAGCAGAAGCCTAAATCCACCACGAGCTCAAATTTCAAAGTTTTGTTGTTGGCGCTGTCTGAGATGAGCACCCGAGGCTGTACCACACCGACCCTTCAGGGAACTTCAGTGGTTGGAAGGGCTATGCCATAGGCCGGTCGCATGAGTTTGCATCCAGACTGTGGTCCGCATTGTAGAAAACCATCGGAAAGGCTTGAACAACAACACCGCCATGCAGATCATGCGGCAAGACTGGAAACCAGGCCCGGCCTGGTTCATGACCGCAAGCACCCGCACATGCACAAGCGGACGAGTGACAAGTCGGACCCGGACAGGAATGAAGATCCAGGAGGCCTTGGAGCTGACGGCAAAAGTGCTAGTGACGCCCCTGAGCTCTCGCTGCAGCCACCCTGTTTGGGATCATGCAAGTGTTGCAGAAGCTCCATTGTTGAGGTCAAGACAATGGACACGGCTTCGCCGACTGCCGAGAGGCTTGAATTCGGAATTGTGTACAAGACGCCAGAAGGCCAAGCCGCTCGACTGAAACCGGTTCCTGTTCCTCCCTCCAGAAATAGACAGTTGAGCGCAACAATCCTTGTCTCTTGCACTTCAGGTGAAGTTCCGCATGCTGAAGGAGAAAGTTCGACGGTTTCGACTCGCATGTTCTGACTACTGACCACATCTTGGCACTGAGCACTGCCTCGTTCGTCGCCAGAGCCAAATACAGAGAGCCGGCGCAGGACACTGAGATCAACAAGCTGATGGCCGATGCCACACCAAAGGAAGGTGAGGAAGGTGCCGCCCCAGCCTCCTGAGGAAGGCCACTGCGGGGAGGGCCAGCTGCCAGTTCTGAGACAAGCTTGTGTGGAGAGCTGCCGTGTGAGGCTTTGCAGGCTACATGGATGAGACGTGAAACGGGGCCGGGTCGGTTAGTCTTTGTCGACGGATGCATGGGTTGGATTTTTCTCATCTCCTCTTCTTCATGCAGCAGAACTAGCTTGACGCATCTACTTGAGAGATCCTGAGAGCGCGAAATCGTATGGCATTCGTAGTGACGAGCTGATTTTGGTGCCTTGCTGGAAATCTGAACAGCTAAAGCCAGGCGATGAACAGGGCATGTGCGATCGTTCCGGCGCAAAAGAGCATGGATGCCCGACCTGGCTCCCTTCCAGTCCACTGACTCCCACTTTGAGCACCTTCGAGCTCGAATTTTCTGCACTCCTGGCTCGAGGGACTGCCTGGACCCAGGAAGGATGGCCTGTGATGGCGTAGGCGAGTCCTGTGGGCCTTTGGGGCGCCGTGCCGTCCTCAAGCTTGGCGGGCACTTTTCGACTTTTGGCAGTTATTTCGTTCGACTGCTTTGAAGGTCTGCCAGCAAAAGCGTGAATGGGTTCATGGCGCCCAAAGGCTCGTGCAAGTGTAGGACTCTCATATCACAAACGCCATGTGCATGACAATCAGGTGAGGCCGGTGACAGCCCAGACCTCGAAGCGCGGGCCATCCTCGACGAAGCCGAGAAGCTGCTGACGCTAGGCAAGCTGGAGGAATCAAGCGAGCAGGCCAGAAGTGATCTACAGAGATTCTATGCTGTACCAGTCGGTGCTCCCGTCCTAGCAGTTACACGAGAAAGAGAAAATTGCAGGCATTGGTTGCTCGGGAGTACTTCCTGGAGACCGGAGACCTTGCGAGCGAAGCGGAGGCCCCGCTTCGGGGCATGTTGAATCCGCGGAAAAAACTGACTCTCAAGCAGGCCTTCCGGATCGAGATTCTGGCGAAGCAGGATGAAGGCCATTTTGGTGGAACTCGAGTGTGTCCATGCTCGAAAGGGTCCCTGTCGAGTTACTTCAGGCGAGTACGGAGCAAGGACTGGTGAGGTAGTGCTGAAGGCCACGAGGGCTTTGCAGCTCTAGATGTCTTCAGTGCTTTAGAATGTCCTGTTGCGCTGCGCAAGGCGAGTGAAATCGACCTCCTTTGCGAAATCGAGCTTTCGCGAGCAAAAGCTGCTGGAGACATCAAGGCAGCATGAAGAGTTTTGCTCCGATGCCCGCCTGCTCGATCACACCCAGTGTCCCATGATGCAGCTGCCGTGGAGCTCTTGCGAGTCGTGTGTCCGGTTTGAGGGAGGCATGCTGGCTCATGGTCTGTCCGTGAAAGAGACAAGGAATTGTATTTCGATCAGTCGGCTCAGGCAGAAGCAGTATTGCTGTACACGCTGGTGGAGGTCAACGTGACTCGCTCAACACACAAGATGCGCACGGAGTCGAAGAAGTGGTGCGATGAATCCATCAGGAGCTCGTAGGGTGAAGCGACGTTGTCATGTGCCTAGGATGAGAATTTCGCCGGTGGAGTGCTTGTTGATGCCCACATGCTTTCTGTTTGCGCAGACTTTTCGAGCAGCTGGGCGAAACCTTCTGGCAAGCACGTGCCGTTTTGATGATGGCTCCTTGCATGAAGCTACCTGTTACGCACTCTGCGTGACTCTAGCTCAGCAGCTCGAGAGAACATGCGGCTGAAGTGGGCCGAGTTTGCACCCAGGTGAACGTGCAGCATAAGTTTCAAGATTCAGACAACATGCACAAGTATGCCAAGCAGGCACACGAGCTCTTCGGACGGGTGCTTCGCCAGAGAAGGTAAACTTTCTGTTTAGGTGAAAAAGCTACGCCTGTCGAGAAAAAACAGAACTCGGTGTTGATGCAGGCGATTGTGACCATGCTTCTAGTCATGCATGGACGGTGCAAGGTCGGGGATCGTAAGAGGCAGGGGATGGCCCTACACGCAAGCAGCCTCGCGTACTTGGGGGAGAAGAACACCCCCGCTGCAATTGACTGCGGGCTGCAAGCTTTGGCAATTTACCGTGACATTGGAGAGCCTCGTCTGGATGGAATGATTTGACCTATGCTGGCTAGTGGCCAGCGCCGTTTTTGAACTGGTACAACAACAAATCCCTCCAAGTTTTGTGTCCTGCCTGCTACTCAGGCTCTATGCAGAGCCCGGGATTGAAGTCGTTCAGTGAAACCCTGCGTGTGAATGCATTTCGTGCAGCAGATTGCAGTAGCCAAGGCAAAGTGCACCCGCATCATCATTTAGGACTAGGACGTATTGCGCCTCACACCACCCCGAGTCGTTGTAGCAGAGTGCAGACGCTTTTTTGCTGCTTCCCTACCTCAACCTGAGGATCGACGATTGGAGATTGCGGAGCTGAAAACAGTTGCTGTGTGGCGGATGGGGCTCGAAGGAAATCAAGGACTCGGTACACGCAGCAGGGGCCGAAACCGGCTCTGGGCTTGGAGTTGCCTGTATCCCCCATGCAGTCCATACATGAAGGCTAGTAAGGCTAGTCGGACATGTGATGGGAGGAAAGATTGCCGCCCGCGAAGCACTGGAAGCTCTGGAGCTGTCGCGGAAGTACACAGAGCCCAATCAGGAGATCCTTCGTCCTGTTGCCTCTGGGTGGTGGCCTACTTTGAGTAGTAGGTTACTAGCTGGATCATGTAAAGCCCGTGTGGCTTGTAGGCTTCACTTCATTGCCGCAGGAGACGGTCACGCTACATGTGGCCCTGCAAGCTTTGCTTCAGATAGGCTGGGCAACTACTGGACTGAATACTGACATCTGTTGGAGCAAGGCGTGATCGTTCCTAGAGAGCTGTCTTCCTGCAGGCGAGCGCAAAGAGGCACTTCGAGCAGCGCAGATTTCGTTGAAGCGCTTTCAGAAGGACATGCTGCACAGCATGTTCTCTTGCATGTGTCTTTTGGAAGCAAGCATTGCAAGTCGGTAGGTTTAGGCGAGGCTCCGCCTGGCCAGGATCCACGCTTGCAGATGGAGACGGCCACGTTGCAAGTTCTAGTAGATGAGCTTCAGGCGCTTCTGTGTTGAGAAAGGGCTGGACGGGTTTCATCACGGTCACAGCATGTTAGAATACACGTTCCAGCACGACGTGTGTGCGTGTGCGCGTGGGTGTTTCTGGGCGATGCTACCAAGCAAAGCTTGCTTGACATTTGGTTGGGGGGACCCAGTTGAGAAGCGTCTGCAGCTCTTGGCCGGCTCTCTGGTAGTCCTCGACCACTGCACAGGTCAGTAGGGAGTCTCCGAATATCGATCTCGATTTGCGTACAGTGTAGAGAACAAAAACACACTGCGAGAAGAAAGTGACCAAGTACAGGCCTTGTGCTGTAGCCACATCAAAAACTCAGGGCTTGTGCATGACCAGCGAAAACTTGAAGCAGTTTTGGTTTGCCCGCCTCGAACAGCCCTTATTGAGTCGCAGGCGTTAGTCGACAACCTTTCAGACTGCACCTTCTTGATTGCTAACGCAGAGCAGAGCACATGTTGTCGCGTTTACGTTTCCATGCAGGTTTAAGTAAAGGCGTACTGCTGCTCACTGATCAGCAACAGCAGAATTAGAGAAAACGGTATTAGCAGCTCGTGTGTAAATATGTAGCAGCAACTGAATCAGGGCTGTCCTCTAAGTGCAAGCGTCCCCGGGCTTGCATGTTAGTGCTGTTAAGTCGTCTTCACTTTGCTTTGCTTCGTGGAGCCACCAGCTTTGACGATATCGCAGGGCAAGAAGACGCAAAATGAAATGGAGCTGATGCAGGGAATCAAGCTTCTTTGTTGCAGAAAGTGCAGACGTCGTTGCAGCAAGTTTGATGTCAGGGCTTGTGCTTATGCCCGGGTTCAACAATGTTAGGCAGCTCAAGGGAATCTCAGGCACCCCAAGCGCCAAACCCTGCGTCCCCTTCTGGTTTCAGGGTCGCACTTTGTCACTACGTCTAAGGTCACGCAAGCAGAGGATGCACATCCTCATTGACTTGGCCAGGCGAGATCGATGTGCCTGGAATCATTTGTCGTGCCTATAGTTTGAGCGGAAGCTGGCAGAAAGCATCCAGGCAAACTCCCTTTCACAACTCGCGATCCGGAGGTCACACTGCAACAACGGGCAGCTGGATGAAGCCGAGGCCGCCGTGGCAGAGGGCCTCGAGCTGGCCCGGGAGTTTGGCAAGACGCTCCGAGAGGCACAGGGCCTCCGGATCCTGGCCCAGCAAGGGCCCCAACGGCCCCAATTCCTCCAACTCTGCGACAACAGAGTCCGACCGTTGCCTGACGACCGTTTGGGTTTCTGCCTAGGCTGCAGCTGGCCAGAGGCAACCACTACCAGGCCATGTCTTCGGTCAAGAAGTCCAGAAAGCTATCCACCCAAGATGAGGACAAGGACAGCTGCGTGTTGCTGGCCCACCCATATGCTGGAAGCCTTGCGTACTTGTTCTGTTCAGCAACAGTCCAGACCAGTCAGGACCAAACGCAACTAGTGTGACTATCACACTCTTTCAGGGCCGTTCCTATTTTGGTTTAGGTGCCCTAATCACTGGGCTCCTTGTCACCAGGAAGGTGAGGCAAGTGCATGGCTGCTCCAAGCAGAGTGCCATGCAGCTGCACGCAGCTTCGATGAGGCTCAGGTATGCTGCCGCATCCTGGCTTGGTTTACTCGACATGTAGAAGGGGCAGGGTTGCCAATGGAATGGCACGTCAACTTTCAAATGTTGGTGCTCAGGGGAAGCACATGCCATTTGCGAAGAGCACGACCTGTACAAGAAGGCATGCAAACTTTCTTTGCTGGGTGCAGTTCCACGATCTCTGTGCGAGACCCCCCTAGCAGGAGATCGAAGTTTGGCACCGTGTGGTCGAGCTGCACATGGCGACAAATCATCCTGATGCCGCGCTCCAAGCTGCAGCCAAGAGAGTCGAAGTCGTGCAGCGCAACAGCGGCAGTGTGAAGGAGGCTTGGCAGCAAGGAGTGCGGCGTCATGTGATGCATTCAAGCTTGCCGCCACCCATAGACGCAAGCGCCTTGATCCCCAGGAACAGGTTGAGGCACTTGACATGCTCTGCAGCCTCATGCTTGTCCAGAAGAATGTCTCAGAGGCCGACAAAGCCGCCGCTGAAATGCGACCGGCAAGCAACAAGGGCATGCAGAAGGGACCGAGGTTCATGCTCGCCATCTTTACACTTTCTGGAAGTCTGATCCAAGGCTGCGCCTGGCCAAACTCAACGAGAGCTTGGTTGACTTGGAGCTTGCAGCACTTTCTCAGCTGGTGCAGGTGGGCGACATGCCTCTACCTATGAGAATTTCGTGGTTGGTCTGATGCTTCGAAGGTGAACATCGTACGCCTCTCGGAAACACCTGGGCAAGGCAGCTTCGCTGGCAAAGCGCTTCAGTATGCCGAGCAGGCTCCTGGACTAAACCCTTTTCTTTCGCAGCGCGGCTTTGGAAGCGGGGGCCGAAGAGAAGCCGAGGGCTGGTCGCTGGCCTGTCGGGATGCCGCAAGCATCGAGTACAAGAGTGGGCTGCTGAAAGCGTCGGCACTTTTCCGCTACCGAAGACACCGCGTTTTGAGTAATATTGCGTGAGCTGGAGCCCGAGGTGCTGCCAAATATTGGCAGGCCGAAGCTCTGATCTGTGTAGGTCGGCACCAACAAGCTCTGAATCTTGGTTGGAACCTGCTGGCCAAAGGGAGAATCCCGGCTTTGTTATTGTCTAGTGGACTGAGCAGTCGGCAAGGATGGCAGCCTACGAAGCGGAAGCCCTCTTCAATCAGATCAAGAGAAGCAAAGACAATGGAGGCCTTTCAAGCGCTTGCATTTGCAAGAGTCTCTCGGTCGGGGGAGGCATCCTCGGTGCTGCACATCACATTAATTAGCCAGGAAAATCAAGCGGGAGGCTTCAAGGAACAGGAGAGCGAGAGGGGCTTTCTGCTTGGCAGGCACTCTGCGCTGTCTCCTCCTGCAGGGCCGCCTTGCAAAGGCTGCTCCGTTACTCTTTGAAGTTCCACCGAGAATTAGGCTCTTGCAATAGGGCTGAGAGAAGCCGTGGAGGCCTTGGGACGCCTGGACGAAGCAATACAGTGCGTGGAGCGGGTGGCTGGGATGCAGACCTAAAAGCATGTACACACGGAAGGTCCAGGAACATCCAGGTAATGTCCACTTCGTGCAAGGCATTGTAGGGCAAAGACGAACAAGGGAAGTTCGTCCATGCCGGAGTCACATGCTTTGGGCCGACAAGGCGATACAGAATGCAGCTGAAACTGGAAACTCATCCGGCGAAAAGATGGCCCGTGACCTGACTGCAGGTTTCAAGCTTGCGTTGTCTTAAGTGCGAAATGGAGACCAGGAGAAGAGATGCAGCGGATCCGGCAACCAGACGAGGTACAACTGCCATCATGACTTGAGAAGTGCATCCAATGGTGTTGGGAAGACTTGTTGAACTCCAGTTGCGAGGACTACGGTGACTACGAGCCGGAACCGGCCTACGAAACGAGAGCATCCAGGTGCGCCTTGCAGATTTGATCTTCGGTTGTCACAGATGTTGAAGTAGAGCCCCGACCCCGCAACGTTGGCTTCTGGCCTGTATGAGGCCAGAAGACACGGCCAACGTTGTTCGGTCGCACGGCATCGACCGCGAGTTGGTCAAGCAAAAGCTATCAACACACGTGCAAAACGTCCTCACGGAGGAGCAGCCACTCTTCTCAGATTTTGGAAGGATCTTGGGACGAACAACCTTCCAATTAGGGCTTGTCAAAAAAGCCAGCTAACAACCAATTCTTGCATGTGCCGTGAGCATGCAAATAGATGACTTGTTCTCCCATGGCAGCTGCAAGGCACGTGGATGCCGAATCTCCGCTCATGGACCTTGGCTTGGATAGCTTGTCAGCAATCGACTTGCAGAATCTGATTGCTTCCTCGTTCCCTTTTATGGTTGACACGGCGACGGTTCTCTTCGACTACCCGACGTTGCGAGAGCTCACCGAACACATCGTGGAGCAAAGTCAACTTGCCGGAGTTTGAGCAGGGTCTGTAAGTGAATCTTGCCCGTCCTGGCTGGCAGTCTGTGACAGCAGCAGGCGAGGATGACTTGAATTTTGTTTTAGCTCTTCCATGCCTGGTGTCTGAACACCGAGCCGTGTAAATCCGCTCCTGCCGAGCTCGCAGCTCCTGCAAAAATCAAGGCTACAGTGCAGGGACCTGGAGCAGCTGTGCATCTTCATGCAGTCGATAGGGTGGGGTCTTCAGGACTTTTTTACGGTTGCTGGGCTCGAGCCTTGCCATGCGTCGGCGCTTGCTTTCCTCTCGGTGGGTCCTGCGCCACATCTCCAAGGCTGTTGCAGCAGGCCAGAGCTGTCCGAGCGAGATGCCTGAGCTTGGGAGGCCAGGCGCATGCGGTGGGGCGGTCGGCCCCCGGAGCCCGGGCGCAGATTTGAGGTCGCGAAAACTGCATTGGAGCAGCTGTGCTGGCTCCGTTGAATTCTGCAGGCAGCAGCGCCGAGGCAAAAAGAGTTAAAGATTCAAGAGACGAGGACTCTGTCGTCAACCTGATAGGTGTCAGACCAGAGCGGGCTTCTTTCCTTGTCTTGTGAGGATTCCGAACATCTTCCTGGTGCCCGGTGTGCTCGACACGGATGAGGCAGCCAGCCTGATCGCCAAAGCGGAGGAGTCGGGCCTCGAGTTGCAGACCAGCCGCGGTCCAGCCTTCGGCGAGGCTCTCCGGTGCCTGGGCAGCAAAGGCAACAGCACGGGCTGGCTTTTGATCTGCTTCAAAAGAGGTCAGATCTGGCCATGCGAGGCATCATTCTCGAATCTCCTTCGAAGACCAGCAGTTCGCTGATGCGCTTTGGAACGGAGGCCGAAGTCTTTTGCCTGGCCCTTTTTGTTTGTGGAGTTCTCTGATGACTCGCGCAGTTGAAGGCTTGCATGCGGCCCTTGCAACATTGCGCGTAGGTCGTCGCCGCCCTGCAGGCTGCTTTCAGGATTCAGTCTGCTCCATGCGTGCATTGACTGCTCCGCTGATGTGAGAGATACTGAGCAGGCTTGAACGAGAACATTCGCATCTACAAGTACTCCGGCGGAGATGTGTTTGGAAAGCATGTAGATGGCAGCAACCAGACGGCCAGAGGCAACACGGAGTTCACACTCCTGATTTACTTGAGCGGCGAGGAGCACGACCTGGTTGGTGGAGAAACCGTCTTCTATGCCAGTGGAGCCGAAGCTCTGCGAGTTCGTCCAGTCACAGGGCAGGCATTGGTTCATCGGCATGGCTCCGCCTCTCGGCTTACCCCTGTGTTGCCCGCCGAACCTGATGTTCTAACTTCTAGCTGATGCTTTAATGGGCGAGCCCCACCGGTTGGTGCCGCATGTGCCAGCACCTTTGCCCAAGGAATGCCTGCTACATGAGTCACTTCCCGTGAGTCGGGGAGTCAAGTACGTGCTTCGCTCTGATATCGTCTTTACCGACCGATCGGAATAGATGCACTACAGCCGTCCTCGAGTTGCTGGGCCATCTTGGGGCTGCCTGCAGAAGCGCAGCGGGGAAGAGATCACGTCGCCACCATCGTGTACCACGAAGCCCGTGCCCAGTACAGGCCCATGAGCACCTCAAGACTTGCGATGCCGAGACAGAACTCCAAGAAAAAGTTGTCTTGCTGAACTGTTTTGTGCTTTCTCCGAGGCAAGTTGCATGGCCCAGAGTCTCTTCGTTGCTCTTCTGACTGAGTGCATAATTGCGTGTGCAGGCACAGCACGGAATCCAAGACTCCTCCACACAGGGCCCAATGAAGATCTCAGAGTAATGTCCGAACAACGAACGACATTGGGGTATTGCTCGATGGTTGCGCTATGCAGACATGCATCCCTTGGAGCAGCCGTGGCCTAATGCAGGGCTCAGCGGTGTTTCGGGCTGGCATGGGAACCCTGCAGAATTCCTGAGGCAGCTTCGCGGCAGTCAGCACTGATGCATGCAAGAAGCTCAGCAGACCGGTCAGTTTAATTTAAGACTGGTCTGGGAGGGCGAAGAATCACATGGACATTGCCTTGGCTGGGCTCAGGTCGTTTTGTTGGGGATGCTGGCGTTGGCACCCCGAGGCCTGCAGGTTGTGAGGAAGGTCGAGGAAAAGGTCTACAGACACGTGGTGCGAGTCTTCCGGGCTTAGCTTGTCTTTGTTGGCTTTTTTGCATGGATTGGAGCTCTGGCAATCTGGCAGTGCTAACTGCCGAGTAGCCTTAGGCCAAAGCAGGAGATACATGACGCTGGACTGCACCAACCGAGGGCGACCAGGTAAGCCGCCACTGGCTTAACCAAGTCTTGTTCGAGCTGCTGAACTTCATGCTATCCTTTCTGCTATGCAGATATGCACATGCTGCTGAGCAGTAGATTGGAGACTCTGGGGCTCCCTATGTCCTTCTTCGGTGCGAAGCCCTGGGGCCCACCCGGGAGTGGCTGAAATTAGCAGGTGCTGCGATCTGATAGGGTCTCGACGGAAGGACTGCCGAGCACGAGAGCGAACTGAAACCAAAGTTGGGCGATCTGTCTTCTCCAGAGTGTTGGCCGCTGGAGCGAATCGGCAAGTCAAAAACGTCGTCTTGCGAGCCGACGGAACTGTGCAAGCAAATGCCGCCTCAAGCAAATCACTTCGGCTGGCGGAGGTGTTAGTGGATGGCCAGCAGCCAAGCTTCGCATGCAGGATTCCTTCTGCTTCTGCATTCGAGTCGAAAGTGGAAAGTGTCGTCGTATCTCCTGGGAGCTGAGGTCGGTGCTTGTGCTAGGCCCCTGCAAGTGAAAACGAATAGAGAGTTGCACAACTTGACGATGAAGGGGGGAGAGAGTGCCTTGTGCGTGAAGTTCGTTGGCAATGCCGAAGAATAGCAGCATCGATGTTCATTCAAGCCAGGAGGCACAGGCTTTCGTGGTCACTACACGACCGAGCGCTTGGTGCGTGAGGGCCACAATGCGCGGCGCCAAGTTCACGTCATACTTTACGAGCCCAAAGGGAGACATGCTCACGTAGATATAATATGAAGCACCTGGATGACGCAGCCGCAGGTAACGGTTGTCAGCAGAGGTGCTAAGTGACCCAGGGAGATCTGCCGCGTGTCTCTCGTGCATAATGGCAGTCAAGCAGTAGTGGAGGGTTTATTCTCTAGAGATTCAGGGCTTCGGGTTTAAGTTAAAGCTTTGGCATCTACGGCTGTGGGGTTTGAAATAAGGCTTTAAGGCCCGGGGCGTAACTTTACTAGGGTTTCGAGTTCGGGGTTTTGGTTTAGCATGAAGGGATCAAGGGTTAAGGGGGTAGGTATGAAAACAAGGCCTGTGTTGCTGTCTATGGCTTTCCCTTGTGGACCCTTCAAAAAGAACACTGTCACTACGGTTTAGGTCCATGATCCCTCTTGCTTACGCTTTGCTTGCTGCAAAAAGACCAAGTGCTGAAATTAAAACCCGACCGGCTCTTCTGTAATACAACAACTGACCCTGTTTGAAAGAACACCCTACACAACGCATTGAATCCCGTAATGATACGTTGAAACCCCGAAACCGGCTGGAAGGTCTATCAGCCCTTCCCAAGGAAGTTTTTTTGGGAGGGTCCGGTGAGGTACTGGGATGTCTTCGATCGCATCACACCCCATGTGACCCACTGGAGATGCAATCGTACGTGCGTGGCCAAGTCATGCCGTCCTCAGCCAGAGATTCCTTTGCAGTTGAGATGGCTTTAACAAGGCTTTCCAGGGAGCACGGCGGAGGAGTGCTTCCAAAGACCGCTGCCAAGGGACAAATGCCGTGCTTGCTTATTTTGAGGGGACATGGGGAAGAACGGCGAAGCTTCCAAGGTCGTCTGGGCTGGTGAACTGCACGGATCTCGTCAAATCAGATGCACGTGTCTCAGGAAAGGTTTTCCGAGCACTTCGCGATGTGAATGGCATGCTCTTTCAGGTGATCTTCGATGCCGTGGTGGACTTCTCAACTCGCACTCTGGACGAAATGAAGCAGGAAGGTGGTGCTTCGCCATGCATCACGTGCCAGCTGAATGCTGACTGAAGAATGAAAGTACTCGAAATAGAAGCAAAGCTGCGGGCTCCGCTTGGCAGGCCATTGAGGTGTTCCGAGACCGGGTTGGATTTTATGCCGGGGCACCAGCTTGGGTGCCAGCAGGGGGGCAAAGCACAATCATGGTGCCCCAGTCGAGGTTTTCATCTCGTCCCATGCTGTTTATGACGTGTCCAAGAACAGCTATTGGCTCAGCTGCTGTTCCCTGCAGCTCATTTGTTTGCTGGCCTTCTTCGCTGATACTGACTCGATGCTCAAGCTCCAGGAACCCACCAGGAGCCGTTTCTCTTGGAGTCCGACGCCGTGCGGCCTGGACGGGAGGTGGATTTGCTGATGTGACAACCGTGTGTGCCTCGAACGCTGCATAGTTGTCAGATATCGCCACTGGACCGGTGGAACCTGAAGGCCAAGGGTGCAGGGTTTGAGATGGATCCGCTAAGTAAAGAGCCTTCCAGTCAAATGTGTAATAGCTCACACAGAACGATACCGTTTCCCGGACTTGTAGTCCATGAGAAGGGTTAGTATGGAATTTTGGTGGTCTCCTTTGAGGGGCGGAGCGCGCGGGGTGACAACGAGCTGGAGTGCGAAGAGGAGCTCTTGAAACAGTGCTCCACGCACCGCACATGAAGCTGTTCTGCTTGTTGGCATCCACTGGAGTCAGATACTGTATGCAACTCAGCCGGTTAACAGCAGGTACAATGCTGGTGGCTTTCCTTATGTCACACTCCGGTTGGGGAACGTCTTTGGGCCGAAGGATGGCCAGCAGAATATTTCAGCTCTCCTTCGCTTTGCTGCCGATCTGGTTGCATCACTTCCGCTTGCGACTGCGAGTGACCAGGAGAATACCATTCGCTATTGGTTGCTCCACCTCTGGGCATCTCACCAAGTTTAGCCGGCATTCTGGTATCTAGCCTCACTGCAGGGCACTTGGGATGAGCTGAGGTCAAGGCTTGCGTGGCGTTGACTCTTCCGTTACACATAGTCCCGGGCTCAGAGCAGCTTCGTGCCGGCAAAATTTCAAGGTGCATAAGCTGTTGTTGCGTGTTTGGTGGCAAGGTTGGCAGTTCTAGTTATTTACTGTTTGTTCGCCACACGTCTTTTGTACTTTGTACTCTTGCTCATCCCTACCGAAACTGAGGACACCAGCCTCGTAAGCACTCGCATCAGCATGACGTACACTCCGGATATTGCAGAGGCCGCTGCTGCACCGGGATGTCGGCATGCACTGTGACAGCCAACGAGAAGTCTGCACAGAAATGGATTTCCCCCACTTGACTGCAGCACGAGCTGATCATCAATTCAGGCTGTCGTGCGTGCAATTTCACGCGGCCTGAACGAGACATGCTGCCCGGAGAAAGTGCATGGAGAGGCTCATACTCATAGCAAAGCCACCGGCCGCGATTTGTTGCAGCTCTAGGGAGCCTGTGTCTGTCAGGCCTTCAACTTAGCGTGTGAGGAGATGCCGACACAGAGAGAACTGTGCCCCGAGTTCCCTCACAAAGGCATTGAGCATTGGTAGCGTCATTCCTGCAAGGTACAACTACATCGGAGAGTGCGGAGCTCACCGTGTTTGGCTGTACCGAGCTGATCTTGAAAGTTGTTAAGACTACATCCTCGGAGATAGTCGGACAACGTTGCTTCAGAGTAGTCTTGACGAGTGGGATGCTGTTCGGGAAGTTGACATCAGGCCTGCAGGGGTGCCTTACGTGGAAACCATCGAGACTCCCCGCAATCAGCGAGTCCCGGCACATTGTCTCATCTGAGGGAAGGGGGCGGGTCATCACCAATGATCTGCAGACAGAATGCCAGTTCTGTGGTGCTCTACCCGGACAACTTGGGTGGCCCAATCAGCGTGACAAAGGACTCGCTGTGAAAGGGGAGTGAGTTTCAAGCAGCATCTTATAACATCTTATAACACTCTTGTATAGCCAAGTGCCCTCACGATGAGCCTGCCTGTTTGACTGAAATTTTGTGGTCGTTCTCATGGACTTCAGTTCTGGATAAGAATGCCTTGCTGCAGGCGCAGGAAGTCTTGCGGTGGTCCCCAACGGGGCTCAGCAAAGCACTCAGGTCGGCCACTGCCTCAGTCCGAGCTGTCGAGTAATGTACAGAAACAAGGGGTCAGCTGCTGAAACGTCAGGTGGCCCGTTTCTACGAGCGAATCATGCTCGAAGGAAAGACGCATAAGGGACAGATCGAATGCACATCCGGCCTGTTTGCTGCTACAAGCCACCTCCTCAGTTAGTGGTGGTAAACGGTGAAGTTTCTGTGTAGCTGTCGCCTCGCATGTGCCAGTCATGTACCGAAAGATGAAAGCCATGCTTGGTGGAGATGGACCGCGCTTCGTGGAATGGACGCGAGCGTCCGCCCGGCGTTCTCCTACACGACCTGTTTCTTTCATTTCTCATGTCCAGGGTCGGTACATGTGCCAGTTTTCTCGAAGGCAATATGCAGAGCGCCGAAAAACGGAGCTGTACGATGAATTGGACGACGAGGATGAGGATGACATCATCCTCGCAGCACACTCAGCCCGCAGTCAGGTCACAATTTCCCGTTTCCAAGACTACCTTTCACCGCAGTGTGCAGCAATCGCGCCGGTAGTCGTGCAAAAAACGCTGATGTGGTGTGCGTTATCGCGAGGCAAGGAGCGACTTGAAGCGTCCCGGCAAAGGAGGGCAGGACACCTACACTGTTGTCCTTGGCTGTTGCCCGACAACTTGTGCAACGTCCTCACTGAATTACAGCAGGTCTAGTATTGCAGGCTTCTTTGGAGTTTTTCCTGCACCGCACCGTTTGGTATAGTGAGCCTGTGCAGACTCAACCCAGTCTGGCTCAGACAGTGGCAGGTATCATGAGGCACTTGTCACTTCAACGGATCATTGCTCCTGTGCATGTTTAGGTTGTAGAGGCCAAAGTCCGCATTCCCGCCCCCATCCCCAAGCCAGTAACTCAGTCAGTGTCAACGACGACCCCATTCGTTTCACGTTTCTGGGCAGAGCTCCAGCCATGGGCACTGCTCTGGCGACGCACTGCTGCGCGAGTGAGGAGGAAGACAAGCCGGAGGCCTTGAAGAACCTGAAGAAGGCCGGCAGGAGTTCGACTTTCGACAATTAAGACCCGGCAAACCGGCTGAGAGAGGATGTGGCCTTCGTCAGCGTCACTTTGGACAAGCAGCCGTTGACCGAGTCCCTTCAGGGCAACTGGTATCGGCAATGCGACTCCAAGCACGTAGGCTTCTTGGCAGCACAGGTGCCGTTTTATGGCGTCGCTCAGACTCCTCCCCCTGTGTGCATTCAGGTGAGATCTGTGGTTCGAGCTTGTTCTGGAACCCGCAGTGGGGGTTGACTGATGTGTCGTCCCCTTTGTCCGAAGGCGGCTTGGCCTGAACGTTTTTTTCCTCTGGGAGGTGTGCACGAAAGGAATAATGTGTTTACGGCGGGAGTAGACTCGACACTGCTTCGTGCTGAAATGCTGGCGCAGTCCGGTGGTCTTCAGTCTCTTCTCAGGTTCTTCTGGCCTGTTGGTTGTTCAGATGGAAGATGAGACGCGCTATGCGACTGTGACGACGAAGCCACAAACGGCAATCATGTGGGCCGATGGTGATGTGTGGATACGAAAGTGACGCTGGCTTTCTTCTGAACCTGCTCATGTTTCCCGGGCACTTGGCACTTTGTAGCCCTTGAGTCCTTGAGCGTTCGCAGTCGAATGGTACGGAATCATTTCCTTCACGAACTCAGCCTCAAGGTAAGATCTACTGCCGATGGCCCTAAGAGCAGAAGGATTCCGCACGGTGTTGCCTAAAGGCCCGCCGTTGCGCATTCATGTCTGTCTGTAATGTAGGCTTTGCCATGTCCTGTCCTTCTTCATTCGGTTGGCTATGTGAGATGTCGTGGTGCCACTGACCAGAAGTCACGCCTGGAAGACGGATGGTGTGACTCTGGCTCAGGGTTGGAGGCCAAACAGCCTCCAGACTCTCAGCGAGACCGAAGTCGCCCGCACACTGGTCTGTCATTTAATGCGACCTCTCATATGCTACAGTGCGCAGTAGTGAAGCTCTGAATGCTTCAGCCAGGGGCGGGAATCCTGCGAGCCAGAACTTGCTCGCGGTGCTACTCGTAGAATTGCATAAAGGGAGCCCTCCACAAAGTCTCACCTTGCTCTGATCACTCAGCCGGCTGGTGCACAAAGTGTTGGGAGCAAGCCAGCTGTCAGATGCCGTCGCTTTGAACCCGAAGTCCCTTCAATTACTCGACGTGTCATTGGCACTTGGCGCCTCGCCTTCTTGTGAGGTTTGTGATCAAACCTATGGCCAAACCTTGTGTGGGATGCTAGCCCAGGGTCCGCAGATCGTGAAGAACAGGATGCAGTAGTGACATGCGATACGCAGAGAGAACGACATGGAAACAAGTAGTCACCTTGAAAGACGGATGAGGGTGTGGGCGTGGCGACCCCTCCTTTCAACCTGCGGAAAGAAAGAGAGCGCCGGTCCTGCCAACGTCCATGGCTGAGGCGGCGCGGTGAGCTCTGAGAAGGTGAACAGTGCCAACAGGAGCCCCGCGCAAAAATCTTTCGTGCTTGCATTTTGCCTACCTCAGAAAGCCTTCTTACACTAAGTGTTTCGTTTCAGTGGCATTTGGCGTCCTTGGCTTCACGTGCAGCTTCCTGTAACGACGCCGCTGGCTGCTGTACTGCAGATGGCAGCTATCGACACAAAAGCCTCATGTTCTCTAAAGCGATGCCGAATGCAAGCAAGAGTGGCTACTGTACCGTCGTCAATAGACTGAACAGCGAGCGAAGCCATGGCACGTCTTTGTAAATGGGGTGCTGCCCGAAGTTGGCATCCATTTTCCCTTGCCGCGGTCCTTGTATACCGTGGTTTGAGCCAACAAGATGCTGTGTGGCTTGCCCTCTAGGACGTGCAGGGGAGGTAGGGTGCTGGTCTGGAGGTTGGTTGCACGTTCGAGCATCGTCGTACCGGGCCTATCGAACAACTCAGGCTCTGGCTGTGAACACCGGCCGCTCGCAAGTGGAGAAGGGCCACGATGATTTTCTCAGTCTTCTGTCGGAAGATATCTGGAGCAACGTCTTGCACAGATTGAACCCGTCGGAACTCGCGGTGCTTCGCTGTGCTGGTGCAGGACACTTGAAGCATCGGTTTGCAATGGCAAGACATGCGTAGGCCAGCCATGCGGTTACCGATTCCACACGCTGAATTTTGCTGCATGTGGCCATGCTCTGTAAGCTGGCCGTTGTAATCCATACCGTCCAAGAGCTCGAGAGGATTTTAGATTCCTGTAAGTGCTACAGCGTTGGCGACAGCCGCCCGAACACAAGACGCTCTAGGCCTTGACTTCAGATCAGTTGCAGACCGTGCATATTAACATACTGGTATCCAGAGCTCTCAATGCTTGTTCCGCTCTTGTTCCCGGCTTCCCTACACAGGACTTCTGGCACGGCAGCTGCAAAGCACCTGCGATGAATCTAGGCAGCCTTTGGCGTGTCTTTCATGCCGTCAACAATCAGCAAACACTTGAACAAGGGATCTTTTCTTGAAGACCTTCGAACTTCGAGGGGCTATGATCATCGACGCGTCATAACTTGTGCCTGCCAATCCGCATCTAAGCTTCGTTTGGGGCTGCAACTAGCGACAAGGAAATCTCGATGGAGGAGGCAAGGAAAATCTGATTGGGCTTGCTGAGCCTCTTGCCAAGGATAGCCTGGTGGCGATTCTGGGACTGAAGGTTTGCCACGTCCTCGCGGTGCTTGGCCAAGATGAGGAGGTGGAGGTTTCGGCTTGAGCATGCGGGGTTTTCTTTCGCGGCTGGCTTTGGCCAGGGACGCAAATCAGACCCAAATGGGACCCAAATGGGCACAGAGTACGGCAAAAGATTTGTTCAATTGGCCAAGGCCCCTCTGCTTAGCTTTGGCTGGCTTGGTACCGGCAGCCGCGTCGCCAGTGGAGAGGATGGTTGGGAAACTGTTCTGGGTAGCATTGTTCCCCGGACTATAACAGCCTACGAAGCAGGGTCTCTGCCTCTCTTCCTTCATTCGTCTCGCTTCGCCGAGAGTGCTCGGCGACCAGGTTCTCGGGCAAGGAACCAGCGAAGGAGGTCGACAGCGATGGCTGCTGGAGATTCTTTCGTTGAACGGAGCCTTGGCTATTCGACCGGGTTTGCTTACGGACCTCTGAAGCCACGCACAAGAGGTGTGGGAGTTGCTGGGTGATGGGCTGTGTCAAACGCTTAGGCCTTCTGTGCATCGGGCTGGCCGATGAGCGACTGCGGTCCAATGCACTCTTGGGTACGACAACTGTGCTTCAAACAGCAAACTTCTTTTTCTCGCTCGGTGGACTGAAACACAAGCAGCCACCTCTGCCCGAAAGGGAGGCTGAACTAAGGAGGAGCAATGGTCGCTGGCATGCGTGGGGTTGGGAACCTCGGCTTGTCATGATTCGAGCTTTCATGATGACACCCTTTCGTCGATGGAGGCGGTGTTAGATACAAGCTTTCATGATGGCGCTGGTTTAGCCTGCAGTTGCCATGCAGCTGTGTGTGTTCAGAGTTGCTTTGGAGGCTTGCTAAAGGGCCCTGTCGGTCGATTGTGGGTGTTTGACTTGACAAAACTCTCACAGTACCATGATGCACCTTGGGCATCAGGAAACCGGTTGTTTCATACACATTGCCACCACCACCACCACCACCACCACCACCACCACCACCACCACCACCACCACCACCACCACCACCACCATTACCACCGCAAGCATTACCACAACTTCGCGCGTTGGGAACGCGCTCCAAAAACCGGCTAGTTTCTTTCCGTGTTTCAGGGGTTTCAGCTTCGGTGAAGAAGTTTGCATACCAATTGTAGCTACTCTTTTGACTGTATGTGGCGAACAGGTCAATTTACCACACTTTTACCACTGAACATGCTTTCAGTGGTCAATCTTGCAGATAGCTTAGGGGCACTGGTTGCAAATGGTGTGTTTTGTGTGTTTCCCGTGAAATCCCGGCCAAAATCCGACTGTTTAGCTAGTTCCCGCTAGTCAGAGACCCCGAAAGTGTCACTGCCCACGGACACGGCCTTCCAAAACAAGAACATCTATGCGTCGCAAACTTAGTCTCAGGAGTTGGGTCCTCGCGGCTCTCTGGAAGCAGCAACTGCTGCTGCAAGAAGTCAAGGAGTAGAGCCAGCCTGAATTGACGTTCATGAAGATCCTGGAACTTAAGATCCCCTTGAGCTTCACAAGCCGGCGAGGCCTGCTTTTTGCAGCGCCTTTGTGCGAGGATCCCCAATGCAGGTGATAAAAACTAAAGGTTCGTTTTTTCCATCCCAGGTTAGCTCCTCTGCGACACCGGAGACCGGGCGTCCTCCGCCGTGCCACCTCGTACCAGAAGGCTTGCTGTTTCCACCGTGCTCGAGACGTCTTGCTCGGGTGCATCATGTCCGACGTGGATTGGGCTCAGTAGTTCTAGGCCCTAAGCCTATTCTACCAACAACACCAGGTCAGCGTGTCATTCTGGTCTTGCACTTGCTTCGGATGGGTTCGCGAATGCGTTTGGAGCTGGCCGCGATGATTCTCTCCTCGAACCTTGGCATGGAAGTTGCTGCACCAAGCCTTTGTGATCTGCATCGCCTCGGACTCAGCTCAAGATGCCGTCCTGGCTTGCATTATGTTCAGGAGTTGGCACTGGCACTGCCTGGGTGCGCACTCGTTCTTGACACCTACGCATTACCAGGACGCTCCTGTCTCCTTCAACTCGTTGGGGTCAGCAGCTGCCGAAGTGTAGCATTGAACGCAGACAAAGGACTCTGTCAACGACTCCGTCAATTTCCGGCCGGCCGTCTCGACAGACATCGGTGCAACGGTTCGGGTGCTATCATCGGACGCCTTCTGCTCGACTGCCTGGCTCACGAGTTGTGCCCTGGCTTCGCAATCTGAAGGTTTCTTAGCCACTGCATTCTGGTTCCTTTGCTGCGAATTCTTTGCTTACTGCTTGAGAGCTGTAGTCGTTGGCTGCTGTTTCTCCCATGGAGCACAAGTGGAGAAGACATCTTGAAATAGCTGCCAAGGAGGCGTCATTCAGTCGTACGGCCGGTGAAGGTAGTTAAAGCTGAGGTTCTTTGCGGGACGCGGACTGACATGATGTTTCATGGCGGGTTGGCAACACCTCCGCTGCCGGAAGGATTTAGCGCTGTTCAACATCTGCATGCTGGCATCACACGGCCGTGGCAGCAGATTCCGCCGGACATGAGCTTGCACGAATGATCGCATGTCGCCCCGGACGAAAGTCAGGCCGCGGGTGATCTGTAAACTCTGAACGCCTTGTGAAAGCTTGTCTGGCTTGCAGAGTGCAAAATCAGAGCGGTTTGTAAACGTGATGCGTTTGTTCGTGTCTGTGTACGCACGCGCGCGCATGTGTGTGTGTGTGTTAATCCCTGTTCCAAACGGCTTTATGCAGCTTGAGTTTGTGTCAGCAGGGACCACAGGCCTACCATCATAGTTGCGGCCAACGAAGACCTCCGATGGTAGGTGTGAAAACATACCTGCTGAGCAAGTGATCTGAGCGAGTGAGAGCATTGCTGTAGAGGCCTCGGGCACAAGGCTGATTCCAATCGCTCACTGACTTTTCCTGGCTGAATAATATAAAACTGACTCCGAAGATCGATTTGAGACCTGCGACACAATGTTTCAAGTGTGATTCACAACGGCATTCCGTCAGGGCGCCGTGTCTCCCAGAGGTTGCTCTGACGCTGACTTTCCCGGTTGATGCTATGAGTCTGGATGACTTGCGCTGAGTCTACTTCCATGCTGGCACATTGATTCTCCCTGAAACTTAAATGCTCACGTACGAAATTCTCATATATTCTCGCGACAACTGAGTTTGACTTGCACATTGCTCCCATTATGATTTCCACCGCATGATTCGAATCCTTCTGACTTTTTCTGAATTGACTGATTCGTCGCAAGGTCTCGATCTGCAAAGCCCTATGGTTCGAAGTGTGAGTAGTGATTGACCGTAGTTGACAATGACATTTCCAGTCCGAGGAACCACGGCGAAAGGCAGAGCTGTACTCCCGCTGCCACCTCCTCCACCCCAGGTTCACCAAGTGCTCCCAACCCCCGTTGGACCTCCCCTTGGCCCTCTGGTGTCCCGAACCTGCCTCCACTTGCTTGAACATGACGTGCAAGGGATGTGCAAGTGACGTGCAAGGGATTTTCAAGTGACGTGCAAGTGACGTGCAAGTGACGTGCAACTGACGTGCAAGTGATGTGTGGGTGACGTGCAAGTGATGTGCAGGTGACGTGCAAGCGACGTGCAAGTGACGTGAACGCGACGTGCGAGACTTTCCTTCTTAGATTGCCTTCAAGAATTTGCCGGATTATTGTCTGCAATTGACATTAATTAATTGGTGCAAAAAATGTGGAGCGGAGTGTTTGCATCCGCTGCGGCCAACGAAGACCTCCGATGGTAGATGTGAAAACACACCTGCTGAGCAAGTGATCTGAACGAGTGAATGCATTGC